AATATAAAGGCATTTAAAATATGAAAATTAGCAAAAAGAACAAAGCTCACCTTCTATTACCTAGTATATTTTGTTGCCAAAGCAGTAAAAAATATTTCTAAACATGACCACGGTGCATTCTATTCTCATATCTCTTACAGTGTTCTAGAGAGCCCTAGAATATCTTTGTGATTCCTTATGAAGATTTTTTATAACATCTTTGAACACATTAAAGCTAGTTACTTTCTAGCAAAATGTTTCTGGTTAGCTTTATGAAGGAAACTAAATTTATGTTGAAGATACGAGTAGGAAAATAATTTTTATTAGATGAAGAATTATAAGTCCTGACACGCTTTTACCAACTTTTGAAACTCACACACACTCACTGTTTTTTTTTAGTAAATTAGTAAGTCCCACTACTATTTGAGCTGTATATACCACAATGATTGTACTCTAGTTCCAGTGAGAAAATTGGCATTAATACATTCAGAAATTTATTTTATTTTTGAACTCTTCTGCTTCTCAAATGTAGCACCTACTGCCTGGGAAATTTCAAATAAATAAAATATAACAAATAGCAATCATATAATATATACCAACTAGCTTTTTGGATTCTAGAACCAAAAATTTTAAGGATAACTCTTCTCCTCGAAAGGAAGATTGTGTTGGGAGTGGTGAGGTGTGCAGAGAAAAAGGAGAGGAGCAGGAAAGGGGTCAGATATCTAAGAGAAAAGTAAAGTAAGTTATTTAATGCCCTGGCACATACACAAATTTGTGTTTTAACACCTTGGGAGAAACTATCTAATTTTAAGACCTATGAGTCTTTTGCTGCTTTTCCTTTCAACTTTAAAGTGTCTGCTAAATATTCTTAAAAATAAAATATTCAATCTTAGCTACATTGTGGCTGTTTAACTCTTAGCAGCATCATTTGTATAGCTGTATATATTTCAAGTCATAATCTCTCAAAGGCGCCTATTTTTATCCATGGCAGAAATTTAGAATGTTGAATTATAAATTTAAAAATTAGCTTAATAAAACCTATTAAGAAAAATTGATTCACATTAGAAATAGTGACACATTAAAGAAAGAACCGTCATCAAAATTACTTGCTGTTTTCTCATCACTTTAGTACTTTTGTTATTTTGAAACTATTTGAATCCTCACTATAAACAGTATGTGCCATTTAATAAAGACTGAAAAAACTTTTTTAAGAACATAAATTTAAAGCCAAGCGACACTTTAGAGACTCTGTAATTATTGTGTATGTGAACATTGAAATCTTCTTGCTATAGCAATAATAACCAAATCATTTACACACACATAGATTTCTCTAAAGAAAAACATGAAAACAGGCTACAAAGAAAAGCCCTTGTCCTAGGAAAAAGAATTGCAATAATCTCCTAGAAGATGACACCCCTCCCATCTCCACCTCAGTATTAGTACCTTTCAGTCGGCAGAATCAGTTAAACCTTGTGCTAAGCCACTGAGCCTAATTGAAAAGAAATACAAGTCATCTAAAGCACAACCAAAAAACGCAGTGGAAACGGTAGTCTGTCATTCTCTTTTCGAATGCCATTTTAAAGAGGTATTAAAGCCAAAATGGGAAGCATGTCATTTCTCTTATGGTGTCAATTTTTTTTTACTCAAAGAAATCCCTCACCACCACATGACAATTTTGGTCTTATACTCAGAAAAACACTCAAAAACCAAGTTTCATATGTCTTTGAAGAGTAATTTTCCTATCTAAATTAAGCTCATTTGAAAATGATTTTTAAAATAAGATTTATGCGAAACAAATCCCAGTTCCCAGAATAACCTGCATTTGTGGTTGTCATGCCACAGCTAGAAGAGAAATTACTGATCGGTGAGCTGTTTCAGAATGCCAACGGGAACCTCAGCTCGGATTAAGGAATCTGATGAAGCATAACGTACCATGAAAGGAATAAAAACATTTTATAGGACTCATGGGCATTATTGACAGGTTTCCACTGCTTTTTAGATATGATTTGACTCAGCAGGAGATCTTCTTTGTAAAGAACCCTTTATTTAAACATTATACAATGCCCCATTAAATTCGAAGAAGACCCAAATGTTTTCCCATTAATACAGTTCTGTGTAGGGAATCATTGCTATGAAACATTTTCAAATATTTTTTGACATTTCATTAAACTGGAACTTGAAATAAAGAAACAATGTAGATATGTTTTTAGCCTCGGTAGGGTTTACGCATATTTGAAAATCAGTAAGCATTTTCACAAACCGAGTTTTAGGAAGACCCATTTCTTCAATTAAGAAAAAAATATTACTTATTTTGTTAATTCGATATCACTCTGGCAAAGCTACTATTTCCATAAATAAATACTGTATTAAGAACTCAGTTCTTAAAATAAAATAATTAAATGCTTTATTCCTTTAAAAGTTTATTATATAATCTCGTAATGGCAGCGTGATCAAGTCACATGTTTTCCAAAATTATTTGGTAAGTCTCTTCGTCGGTGAAGAAAGCCACACAAGAAACGAATGGAAGGCTTGATTTCAAGTATGAATTTGAAAGAAGCTATTTTTCCCTTTTTAGTATTAACACGTCACTTCTCTATGTCCGTAGTCCAATATCCTCTCTGCATCAAAGTCACCCAAAAAGATAGTAGACACCAACAAAAGATTTCTTGGACTCCATGCCCAGAGATTCTGATTCTGGTTATTTGGGGTGGAGCTTGTATTGGGACTTTCTGAGAGTATCTCAGGGGATTCTAATGGACACTGAGTGTCAATAACAATTGCTCTTAACAAAGGAAGAAAACCGAGTGAATAGATGAATAAGCACAGGGCACCTGTGTGACAGTGGCAAGTTCTGTAGTCATGCTCTCTACATTCAGAAATTTTCTTTTCAGATGAAGTTAAAATTCTATTCATGGTTCAGGGATAAACTATCTTGATATTAATTTTATTTTAACTGTCACATAATACAAAAAAAATCAAACAAAATTATAATTTATCATCAAGTATAGATCTGGGGATATTTTTAACTCTTTACTAATATGTGGAGGTAAAAATTTAAAAAGCATTTTCAGTTAATACAAGGAATGACATTTCTACTATAAAGCAACAAAAGGATTGCTCATGTAGGCGGACTTGAAAATTACCTTAATTGCTCTTTTAAGAAAATTTTCTAAACACCTATGTCTCTCAGTTACAGTTCTGATAGACTTCACAGCAGCTACATAAAGTAGTTCACAAGACCCCAAGTCTACAGTAGCGAAGGAATACACATTTGATAATTTACTGTATCTTATATATCTCATATAAAATTTTACTATAAAATTCTCAATACAATGAATTGATTTTTAAAATATTTACACAATATCATTTTTCAAAACCTAGCAAATTAAACAACATAAGACTGTGAGTAACGAATATTTGTGTCTAGGTCTTTGCACTGCAGATTATTTTCTACTCTATATACAGCCAGTCGCTGCAGCTTATACTCTGCCAGATACTGACATTGTTAATCTTCTGCTGTAGCATCATCCTCTTCCACACTTCATCATTCCACTTCATCATTGTCAACTTGAATCTGTTCACCACAGTTATTGTCATCTTATGAAATGCCTTCTTTCTTGAAGTAGAACACGAATGATGAAACTAGATTCTTATTGAAAAAATGCTTCAATTTTTTTTTAAAGATTGGCACCTGAGCTAACAATGGTTGCCAATCTTCTTTTTTTGTTTTCTCCCCAAAGCCCACACTATATCGTTGTATATATTAGTTCTGGATCCTTCTGGTTGTGGCATGTGGGATGTCGCCTCAGTGTGGCCTGACGAGTGATGCGGTGTCTGAGCCCTGGATCTGAACCAGCGAAACCCTGGGCCACCAAGCGGAGTGTGCAAGCTTAACCACTTGGCCTCCGGGCAGGCCCCAAAATATTCAATTCTTAGTCATCAACAATTTTAGCACTGAAAGAAGCATATAGTAGCATTCCAGTCTCAGGAGTTTCTGGAACACAAAAGCAGTTCAAGAGTGTTCTACTTACTGTTTCTATTGCTTAATGACTTGTGTAGTGTCAATCTTTCTTTGCTGTCAATTTACCTGCCCACCTTCTGTCCTCAGGCTGTTTATCATTTCCAGTCCATGCGAAAGGTAAGGATTAGAATTATCTGAGTCTGGCCCAGCGCCAAGTAGTTAAGTTCACTTGTTCCACTTCAGCAGCCAGGGTTTCTTGAGTTTGGATCCTGGGCTGGGACATGGCACCACTCATTAGGCCATGCTGAGGCGGCGTCCCACATGCCACAACTAGAAGGACCCACATCTAAAAATATATGACTATGTACTGGGGGGATTTAGGGTGAAAAATCAGAAAAAAAAAAGAAGATTGGCAACAGCTGTTAGGTCGTGTCAATCTTTAGGAAAAAGAAGAATTATCTGAATCGACCTCATTTTCTATGTTTTCATTAACACTTCGTTTGGGGAATAACTCAGTAAGTTCAAAGGGAAATTCTATTGTAAGACTCAAGCTTGGCAATATCTGAGATGCTGGACATCTTTCAAAAGTTTTGGAATAGATTATTCACGCTTCTGAATGGTGTATTTGAGCATATTAACATCCTTAAAACGGTCAACAAACAATAAAGAACACATTCTAGGTGGCCTTTTCCTTCACATTTTTGTTTTTCCTCAACCTCGCATCTCCTTGGAGATTGCCTTCTAATCATTTTGTTTTATTTTCATTCATCTCTTCTAGACTCATAAGTTGCGTAGATCATGTAATACCTCTTTCCAAACAGAGCTGGACAGAGTCCAGTTCTCCCTTTTAGGATTATTAACTTTTTTAGAATATTTGACTTCTATTTGCACAATTTCTACTTGAAGGTTATTAGGGCAATAATTTATTGCTTAACAAGTTTCAGCAAGTGCTAAATGTGGCCTTCAGGTACCGCAGTGTATCAGCACATCTTTCTAAAGGAGTTTCAAAGAACCGAAGAATGTGCTCCTTTAAACAGTTGCTTTTTTCTCTGTTCCTCAGCTTCCTCCACCACGAGTCAGCCTCCTCATTTTCTGCAGCATTTTCCATCTGTGTCATTGGCGTAGTACACACGTGCCTGACCTAGATGTTTACTGGCATTTGCAGCATCGTGATTATCTTCCTCATCATTATCTTTGAAGCCCAACTGAAATGATGCCCTGTAACTACGGGTCTGTGAGTTGTTTTGGAACAGGATGTATCAGCCTGTCAGCATTGTTTGGTAATTGTTTTGTAATTGCATTTATGTTTGCACCTGAATTTGGAAGGCTCTGGGGGTTGGGGGAGGCAGAGAGTTCCAATATTAACACAGTCCATGTAGCTAGAAGGAACCTGTGCATCCGCTCATTGTGAGACCTCCGCCACAGGCTGACTTTGAGTTTCCCTGTGGCAAGCCACTTTGTCTTAATGCTGGTAGTGGCGAGCGACTTGGAGACAAAGAACGTACGGTGCTGGAAACACAAAGTTTATTCCTGAGTTCTCAGGTTCCAGTTCAACACATATCCTTCTTCCAGGTATATAAACAATGGTATTCCAGGTGTATAAACTGGTGGAGTTCCAGAGTCCACTTAACATTTGAACACCTACATTGATACAAGCTTAATTAACAATTAATGCACTTCCTCATAGAAGACTATCTGTAGACTAAGACAAACGATTTTTCTCTGAATGTGTTCCTATAACATCATGAATTTCTCCCTATTAGATATTAGAACTTGCATAGAGACAATTTACAAATTTTAATTAAATTTTAGTGTCTACTTTTTTCCACTCCATGGTACATTCCATGAAGACAAAAACCATCTCTCTTTTATTTACATATGTGTCTACGGAACACATCAGAGAGCTCAAGAACTATTTGCTGACTAGCTAAAGAATCTTCAGGTTGAAACAGAATCTTAAAGATCTGAGGTAAATGAATACAGTTAAGTGTAACTGAAGAGGAACCGGTAAGAAAAGGTAACGTTATGATGGAATATGATTAAACTACAGAATACAGTCCCTGACATGATGGGAGAAATGTTATTTATTGTATTTTTTAAGAAAAAGCATAATTCTGTTTATTAAAGACAACTGTAACAATAAGAGAGAGGGGAAAGGAAATAGTTTAGGAGAAGATATAGCTATGTCAGGGTTCATATTTAACAGATTTATTTTCACTCCGAAGTAGAATGTGAGATATTCTTCCTGAGTGAAAGGAGAGGTATTAAAGTTGGAAGTTCGAAGCTGCTGGAGGAAATCTGACATAAAAGCTATAAAGAATAGAAAGAAAGCCCAGTAAATGGCAGCATTTACCAATATTATTGCCCAGCCCTTTCCAGTGGGGATTGTTACAGAGTAATTGCTTGGAGTAATAAGGTTGTGAGGTATTGAGTTTAAAAATTAGAAAAGAATCCTTGTTGCCTACTGTAGTTTTCATTATATTAATTGGATGAAGCATATTGCAAATTCTCAAGAGGCAAATATTGCATCTAACATTTACTGTGCTTACTTAAAAACATGGGCAAGAACGATCCCATGGGTCCGATGACAACTTCACAAATGTAAGTTTACAGAGTTCTACCTATCAAACTCTCCCCGAGGATGGGCACCGTCTGTGACTCTGACGCTTTGTGGTGCTTGTCTCCACGCTGTCACGTATCCTCTAGGAAAGAAAACCTCTCACAACCCTCCTCATTAAAGCTCACCAAGAGGTTTATTTCAACCCAACTGCCTGCTAGGCCCAAAGCCACATGCCTTAGGAAAGGTAGAAAGAAGATTGTGGGGATGACGGGTGTGACACTCATGAAAACTCATTGCTCAATCTCCTGCCTCAGGGAGCAAAGTTAACTGACAGCCCCAGATGCTGCCCTTCTGATTCCACCACCACCTTCCTGCTGGCCACTCTTCCCCATTCAGCCTGCTCCTCCAGCCTGCTCCCAGGTAATGAATGAGCATGGCTAGGGAACTAGTGCAGGCCCACTCATTTGGGAAATAGATCTTCTCTAATGGGCAAATTCCACTTGATATTCCCAGTCGGCCTCTGCAAAGCTTTCCTAGAACTACTCTGCTGTCAGAGATTCTTTCTACGTGTTCACAAATGTCAGACCCGCCTTGTGGTCTGAAGATTTTCCTGCCTACTCCTACGCCCTTCCCTTTCTCCTTCACAGGGCGTTTCTGTCAATAAATCTTGTGCCTATATAAGCCTGTCTTGGTGACTACTTCTCAGACGTCCCAAACTGACACAACAGGAGGCAAGATTTATACACAATACTCTTTTCTCAGGATCTTTGCTATAATATTACAATGTATCAAAATCAAAATGCATTATGACAAATTAGTGTTGATTCCAAGAATGCAAGAAATCTACCAATATAGTTCATTTCAGCAACAAAGTAAAAGAGTTCCCATATGCTCACATCAATAGATGCTGAAAATGCATTTGATAAAACTTCTAAGCCTTTTCTGACAAAGTCACAGAATGGAAAGACATTGAATAAATATAATAAAATCTATTAACTGAAAGACAACAGAAAATATTATTTTAAACAGCAAAGCACTGAAAGGAATTCAGTTAAAAAATATAAACTTGTCATGGATGCCTATTATGACTCTCAATACCTGTGTGTGCCTCAGAGGTGGTTGACAGAATATATCTACAGGTAGAGGGCCGGCCCGGTGGTACAGCTTAAGTTTGCACGTTTTGCTTTGGTGGCCCAGGGTTCACTGGTTCGGATCCTGGATGCAGACCTATGCACCACTTGTCAAGCCATGCTGTGGCAGGTGTCCCACACATAAAGTAGAGGAAGATGGGCACAGATGTTAGCTCTGGGCCAGTTTTCCTCAGCAAAAAGAGAAGGATTGGGGGCAGATATTAGCTGAGGGTTAATCTTCCTAAAAAAGAAAAAATAAATAACAAAAAAGGAGAATATAGCTACAAGGATAGCTAAGTGATATAATGTATATTAGGGACTTTTGGTATGACATAGTTAGTTGTGTAGATTGTCATCTTTCTCTTCTTCTTCTAGAAATCATGTAAAGTAATGAGAAAAATAAAAAGAATCACATTCTCCATGATCACTGAACCTTGGAGTCTGATGTGATTTACAGAGTCTAGAGTGTAAAGGTTATTAAAATCAATCTAATCTGTGCAGATGTTACACAAGATTGAGTGTGGAGGTTGTTTAGTTGGCCAGAGGCGGTGGATCCCAGGATGGACTGCAAAACTATATTTCTCAGAGATAAAGGAGTCTTCCTGGGTGATAAACACTGTATCTCTTATTTCCAATAGCCGGATATATAACTTCAGTGGGTTAAGACAGGTAGACTATGTTCCCATAGAGACGGAGAAAGGAGGCACAGGGAGTAGAGAGTATCAAGGGGCCTCAGCGCAAAAGGATTCCAGTGTCGGAAAAGTGCCTATCTAGAATTTAATGCTCTTACCATGAACTGAAGAATTCTATTCTGCAATGTTTTTTGATAAAACTAGGAAGTCCAGGGTTGGTAGAAGTGTAAAATGTCAGGGAAGAAATAATGAAAAAATAATGAAGACTAAATCATGAACTTGCAAGACCTAGGTAAAAATTAAAAGCAAAAATAAAGCCAGCAGACAAATGAAGATGAAATTAGAAGTGATGACCAGGGAGAATCCATCAAAGGAACTACAGTAGTGACTTGGAGAATAGAAATAAGAAAACTGACTCAAGCACAGTCAAAATTAATTTGAAAAAAAAATTAAATGGAAATACATTTTCAAGAGGCTTGAAGGAAAGCACAGTCTATATTTTGTTAGTAGGAGGACAAATTGATATAACACATATGGAAAGCAAAACCATATATGTGAATGTCCTTATGCCCTGAAATAAAACTACTTTTTACATATATATATATATACATATATTTGTGTGTGTGAAGAAGATTGACCCTGACCTTGCATTTGTTGCCAATCTTCCTTTTTGATTGAGGAAGATTAGCCCTGAGCTAACATCTGTGCCCATCTGCCTCTATTTTATGTGGGATACCGCTGCAGTGTGGCTGGACAAGTAGTGCTAGGTCCACGCCCAGGATCCAAACCTGCAAATCCCAGGCCACAGAATTTAACCACTAGGACACTAGCCTGGCCTCTACATAGATTCTTAAGTGAAAGAAAAAGTAGTGACCAACTATGTATACAATTATTATCTTTGTTAGAAAATAAGGGGGAATCAGAATCTCTATACTAGTTTATTACATACATAAGGCAACTGTGGACAGATTGATAAGAATCCATGAGGACATGGGGACAAAAAATTGGGTGGAAATGTGATAAGAATAAATATTCATTATTTAGCATTTTTAACTTTTAATTTTGACTTATCCGATTGCATTATTTATTTTGAAAGAAGCTAACAAGATAGAAAGCTAATAAATAAAATATAAAAGGGATACTATGGGGTGTTTTAAGCAGTGTAATGACAGAATCTGTATTATGAATACAAATGGACTTTATGGAGACAATGAATCTGAAATAAAGTGGATGAATTTGGGGTAAATCTTGAGGGAAAGCTATAGGAATTTTGGATGGTTTTATTCATTTATTCCTTCAACAAATATTTATTGAGTAATTGATATATGTCAAGACCTTTCAAAGGCACTGGTCATTAAATGTTAGCAGTGATGTGGAAAGGAAAAAATCAAGGGTGACTTTAAGGACATTAAAAAAGGACAGTAAACTGTTGAAAAGTGGAAGTGCCATATGCTCATGAGAAATGTTGGCATAGGAAGAAGCTTGAGGACGGAGTTCCAATTTCAATATTTACTGCAATGATGTCTTTTTGACATTTAGGCGCAGATGTTAAGTGAACAGTTAGATATGTTAGTCCATGATTTTTTTCATAATTTTTTTTATCTGTTTGACTTCTCAGATACCTGTCTCCAATACTATGGCAAGACATACATTTTTCTCTAGGAAATCTTACTATTTAAAAAATAATAGCTCTACTCCTAATTGAACTATAAATATAATTCAGTCCTTTCTTAAACGGAATTTTAAAAGTTTATTCTAAACTTAATCTAGAAAGAAAAATGTGTAAAAATGGTGAAAAAATTCTAAAAAAACAGGAATTCCTATAACAATCCCGTGGTGCAGCAGTTAAGTGCGCACTTTCTGCTTTGGCAGCCCCAGGTTCACCGGTTCGGGCATGGTACCACTTGGCAAGCCATGCTGTGGCAGGCGTCCCACATATAAAGTGGAGGAAGATGGGCACGGATGTTAGCTCAGGGCCAGTCTTCCTCAGCAAAAAAAGAGGAGGCTTGGCAGCAGATGTTAGCTCAGGGCTAATCTTCCTTAAATAAATAAAGAAATAGTTATCAAAATGTTATTGAATTACACTTTTTATAGCACTCTGGGTTTGGAATGGAAGTGGTCAAAAAGTGGTTTTATCATAATATTGCTTCACAATCTTTACTCAGAGTGTGAATTTGAGGGAAATGAGTAGGCTGTGAGCAGTCTAAGCAATTGATTTTTTCCCTGAAAACTTTCCTTTCTCTTTGTTTGGTAAAACTGCCTTTGCTGGGAAAATCCTCAAAATATCCAGCTTTCTGGCAGTGTACAACCTCATTTCAGGCGATGCTACCTGCTGGATTAAGGGCATAACTCTTCCGTTGTGTTTCTCCTAGCTATAGCTACTGGCACTGGACGTGAATTTTGTAATCCCACAGTGTTACTGCTTCCGAATGCTGGGCGTCAGTGCATGTGAAATTGATTCCAAATGATGTGTGACACATCTGCTGCACCATTCACCTTTTGCCTGCAGATTGTACCTTCTAACTTAGAAGAGAAGAGCACTCTTGCCAACCTGTCTTACACATTCTGCCTGGTCCTTTCTACAGTAACCTTTTTCAGAAATTCTTGAAGCATCATGATATGTATATGAAATTCTGAAGCAAACCATACAGATCCAAATAACACACCATTTTTAACATTACATTAGCTAGGTTTT